TTTGCCACCGATTACAGCGGATTCACTGTGTTAACATACTAGTGTTGGACTCATGGGGCGTAGGTACAGTGTTGGAGATGTCTGTAATGCATTTGGGATCGTTGAAGGTGACAGTTCTAGTAAGGGACCTTCTGATCATGCATCTGGAGTGGATTTTGTTACAGGGAATGCTTCGACCCCGTTTGGTCAATAATCAGTTCCTTGTTGGAATTTTGGGAATCCGGGTTTAAGGTTCGGGTGTCACTTGTGGATGCCGGGCAGAGGAAGATGTTTTTTTGTGTGATAGAGAGTTTTGGTTATTGTTTGAGGAGTTTGGTTATTTCGATGCAAACAGATTCATTTCTCAAGTGGAGAAATCTTGAAATTTTGTACGTTGCACCGGAATTTGGGTCAAGGTGGAGATTGTTGGGATAAGTGACCCAAATTTGCAAGAAAATCACCTAGGATACCTTCTAGGCTGCGCCAGTATCTCTCTTTCACGTACTAGTCCATTATTTCCATAATTTTGACATATCCCTAGGGTTTTGTACGTGGAGTATAAATAGGGTTGCTCCTCTTTCAATTATTTAGAAGCCAATTTGCTAAGTTCTTGTAATTTCTCTCCATATTGTTATTGAATAAAACATCGGTTCCTCTGCCAATTTCTCCTCTATTTTCTTTACTTTAATCTTGTTCTTTTTCTTATGATCTTTATTATTTCAATTTGTCATTAATCTCAATTCCTGCATTCGAGACGATTTTTCCCAACAGTATGCACCCAAATATGCTTTTCATAAGTGAGAAGGCGACTGCTTTATCTCAAGTGCGAGGATGCTTCGAGATTCTCTCCTAAAATTGCTATTTTTCAAAGTAGCAGTCCCTAAACTTATGCACTTCGTTTTGTGCATTTTGTACTAGATATTTTCAGTGTGAATCGATGGAACGACGTAAATAAAAATGCATTGGATTCAAATCATCCGGGAAGAAATTTCAGTCACTTGGGTTTCTACAAGAAAATCAAATGGTTCTTGTGGCCATTTGCTCGAAGCACGAGACTGGACCTTGGATGCAAACTGACACTCATTTGCTTGTCATCTCTAACAACTTAACTTCTAAATGAAATTTTCCAATAAGTGAAGGTAGGATTACAAAACTTAAACACTAGCAAGAACACCTAAAAGAAAATTTTATTCCTTGAACTAAGCAGTTTCTATTAACAATGTAAGAATCTTCTTCATGACCAACATTTGCAAATTAGATAAATTTCTAACATTTTTTTCATGTGGATTCTAACATAAATGATTGGATTAATTTCTTACCATAACCTACGTAGAAACAGAATGGTTCTCCTTAATTTACATTTTTTTTCTTCGTACAGTCGTACACTTCTAGCAAGAACTATTAACTGAATTTGATCTTTTCAATGATGAGAAGGAATTCAAGAACTCAATGCAATCCTCAATAGCCTCGGCTCGCTGAGAATCAAGTGTTTCAGCATAGGACTTTGATCTTGCCAAACTAGCAGACGAAACTTTACGCGAAGACCTCACAAACTGCAGAGCTCTTGCAATGTTTTCTCCAATATGCCTAAAGAATTCGGAAGCTGAATATCCGGAGCTTACTGAGATTCGGGAAAAATTGAAACTCCCTATTCCGATGACCTTCTTCTTGTTCCTATCAACTTTAGTTCGGCAGCCACGTTTCGGATAGATTCTTGGTTTATCATTGACATCAGGACTAAAGGTAACCCTTCTACTTATTTTTTTCTGCATCACCTTGTTGGCGGTTGTGCGTGCAGGTTGAGTGTGTGAATCTGTTAGAGAGACAAAGGATGAACAAAAGGCACTTGGTGACTGATATATAGGAGGTATTTATCGATAATTAATGAGGACAGGAAAAAAAGTAGCAATGGTCCATTTCTCCATTTTTGCGTGCTATCCTTGTGGGGGACCATAGCAACCTTCTTTTTACATGGTTCTAATTTTACCCGACCAAAGAGAAAAAATGCAAAGGACAAAATAGAAGAGGTTTAACGATCTTAAGAGTTCGTTTGACAGGACTTTTACTTTTGCTTCTACTTCTACTTCTCGTAGAAGAACTGTCTAGAAAACTATATTATATCAACTTCCTCTAAAATCTCTTCTAACAAAACAAAACACTTTCAGAAAGTCACCTAAACATGTTCAAAAACAACTTCTCAGTCTCATAAGCATCTTTTGACTTTTCGGAAGTCCTGTTAACTGGGCTGGGCTCTAAGATTACATTGTGATTGAGAAAAATTCACGGATTCCTTAACTTCTAGTACTCCTATTTGAAATCACAAAAGGCCGTTGGTAGACCCTGTATGAATCCAAGTGAGCCATGCACCTAGTGTATATATGCATGATGCTTTCGAATTATTGTTGTCTCGTACAATCACATTTTATGGCTTACAACAAGAGTACTAAACAAAATAACAAAAGGGGGTTTCTGGTCTAACGGAAGAGCAAGTGGAGTGATTGATATAAGATTACAAGGTAAAAAAGTGGGGAGAACACAGAGAGCAAGAGATAAGCTTTTCTTTTGAGGTGGTCTCTTGCCCTACAATACTTTTGCTGCATGCCACCGTGATTCTGTTAAGGAATCAGAATGTCTAATCATGCTCTATCTGAAGATGAATTTTACTCCCATTTTGAATTTTTGTGGGGACAGCAAGAATAAAAAGGAAAATCCCATCTTTACCTTTAATTTACTTTCTGTGACAAAAGAAAATTCTACGTTCATGTAGGAAGAGGGAAATTATTTGACTGATAGATCTCTCCAAGTTTGGCACGTTAGAATAGCTGAGAAGATGCAATATTTTATGCTTATTTTTTGTTTATTCTATAGACTATAGTACCAAACACATTACAAAAAAATAAATAAATAAATAATCTCATGCAAATTAGAAAACTATGAAGTCTTTGAATTTTGTTTCACTGGTATAACTTTAACTGCTAAAATTTGTGACACAAGAAGTAGATAAAAAGTCTCTAGGGAACAAATTGGGGCCTTCAAATTAAATCGTCATAGTTTAAATTTTTCTTAATGTATGGACAATCAAGTTCATCGTCAACACTCCAATCTTCCAATATTGACTCAAGAAAAGAAGTTCGATGCCAACTACAAAGCCTTTACTTAATATAGGCAATGACATCGAAAAAACCCGTTTGGGGCTTTCGACTAAGGCACACGAGGTCGACCCATATGGTCAGTTGAGTTCACAAAAGTCAATTTTGTTACATTTATGCACTTGACAAGTAAACTCAACATGGTCAGTGTTAAAGTCTAATATTTTTTTAAACAAAATGTAGTAAACATTTGTTATTGATATACACCTAACAATATAAATTCAAAGAATATCTCTTGCAGTTTCATAACTTATAGTTTACCTTTGGATGGTCCATATAGGCAATAAACGCCTCCAATAGTAGTCCAGATCCATCAATGTAGTATTAAGGAGACAGTAGATTAAATTACAAATTGGACCAACCGGAGCGTATATAATGATCTCTAGCCTAATTTGCTATTCATGGTTATTCGTTTTGATCTCGTCTTTTTTTTTTTTTTTTTGTGCGTGTGTGCAATTTTTCTTCCTTTTCAACGACGAGTTTTGAATTGTAACACGTTAATAGTGGTAGGAAATGGAGAGAAATGTGACCACTTCGAAGGCATTAGAATGAACGGTGATTCAACACCCCCCCCCCCCC